CCATATCAATTTAACAGATAAAAAATAGGCTACATGAATTATATAAGGTGACATAGCTAATACATAATGGGGCCGGAACCAGAGCTCAGCTCTCCAAGTTCCGTACTCTTTACCATATAAACTATACATCTTTCTCACATTCTAATGATTTGGAAGAGGAGATTAGATTTCCAAATGACCTTGGAAAATAAGAAATATATTGAAATTCAAAAGGGAGGGTAGTAGAGGGAACTGGATGAAAGAAGGTGAAGAGATTAGCCAAAGAACATATATGCATAACCCATAGACACAGACAACAGTGTGGTGATGGCCAGAGGGAAGTGGAGATGGAGGCTGGGTGGAAGTAGACAAAAGGAGGGTAGGAATAGGTATGTCTGTTTCAACAATAAAAAAATAAAAGAAAAGGAAGAGTTATTTGCAAACCAATAAAAAAGGAAATTTACTAGGGTAAAATACAAGCCAGAATAACTAAGAAAAAAATACCAAACTTAAATACAAGATCAGTGATAATTTGTGAATGTGGCAGAAAAATGATTTAGGATGAACCTGCTATATAGTTTTGTGATAACAGAAAGCACATTGCTTAAATTCATAGAAGTAGTATAATCTGTGGATAGCTTGGAGTGGTGATTAGGACTGTAATCCCTGGAGTCTCACTTTGTAAATGCTCAACCTAGCTTCACCACTTAGTATCATTATGACCTTAGGAAATTATTTAACCTCTCTGTGACTCAGTTTCTTTATCTGTAGTAATAGTATCTACTGCTCAAAGTAGTTGAGATTTAATGAGTACTTTAGAGCTATATACATGGCTCTTGGTTTCAGCATCTGTAAAATGAGGACACAGTAATACCACTGCCTAGAGAAGTTAAGATTTAATAAGCTCTTTTGGAACTATAAACATGGCTCATAGTTAAATTGTATGAGCTTTCTTCTACCTCTCGTCCCCCCTTTCCTTTTTCTCCTTCCTTATTAGAGAACATAATTGAATTCTCACTACTCAACTCTTGAGGCCCTTTTTGGAGATTTGGAGGGCAACCTCAGGATGTGACAGTTTGGGAGAGTATTAAAATGATTGTTATTAGAAGAAAGAAATTAATATTTATTAAGTACTTAGCATGTGCTAAATGTTGCATTAACCTCTTTCACCTTATCCTCTTTCATCCTCACAATAGTTATTTTTAACTTTTTATTTTGAAATAATTTTAGGCTTAGAAAAATTACAAAAATAGTAGTTCCCAGATACCTTTTATTCAGCTTCCCCTAATCTTAATATCTTACATAAGCAAGGCATAATGATCAAATCCAGAAAATTAACATTGATATAATACCAATAACCGAATTTCAGTCTTTATTCTGATTTCACCAATTTCCTCTAATTTCCTTTTTCTGTTCCAGAATCTAATCCAGGATTGCACAATGCTTTTATTGTCATGTCTCCTTAGTCTCTCTTTTTTTCTGTGACAATTTCTAAGTCTTTCCTTGTTCATGATTTTGATACTTGTGAAGAGTACTTGTCACTCATTTTGTAGAATGTCCCCCAATTTGGGTTGTCTGACATTTTTACATAATTAAGTAGATGTTATGAATGTTTTCCAGAAATATCACAGAAGTGATGGGCCCTTCTCAGTGCAAAGTATCAGGGACGTACATGATGTCCCGATGTCTTATTGTTGGTGATGTTCACCTTGATCACTGTGTTAAGGCGGTATTTGCAGTGTATCCTCTGTAAAGTTACTATTATCCCATTATAGTTCATAAATATCTTGAGGGCAATATTTTGGGACTATGCAAATATCCTATTTTGCCCCCTAACTTTAGCATTGCTGAATTTGATCACCAGGGTAAACTTATGTCTGTCAGTTTCTTTCACTGTAACATAACTATTTTTCCTTTTGTAATGAATAAATATCTTAAGGGGAGAAATTATGAGAATATGCAAATATCCTGATTGTCTCCAAATTTTTACCCACCAATTATAGCATACTTCTCTCCCAACATCTCCTACCATAAATATTTTCTTAGTATGTACATGAGGAAATGGAGCGTCACAGGGGTTTATTTACCTGCTCAAGATGCACAAGTCCAGGTGTGTCATACTCTAAATCCCTTGTAATTTCATCATTCTGTTAAGATATGTTAGCCCACATATAAGGGAAAATAATCTTCTGGCTGTGACAGCAAAATTAGAAATATGTAGCTTTGGAAAGACAAAATTAAGGTTTTAAGAAAAGTTTTTATAGTAGATGGGGAGCAACTCCTGAGGGCAAAGCAGTGGCTCCTCAAGGCCTAGAGAGAAGTTCAGTTTTGGTGCTCACTGCCAGTTATCCCAGAGCGACAAAGGAGTTTTGTATGAACTGTGGATGTGGATAGAAATAAAGTGTAACCATCTGTAAAGATTTATGTTCTTTATTTGGAAAGTTTACTTCAATCTCGAATTGCCAGTTTTATAGGATTTAATTTGAGACATAGAAAGGTTTCTTTAAAACTCATGGACACAAACAACAGTATGGGGAGTGCCAGAGGGAAGGGGGGAGGAGGTGGGAGAGGGTAAAGGGGATAAATGATGACGGAAGGAGACTCGACTTGGGGTGGTAAGCACACCATACAGTACACAGATGACGTATTGTAGAAGTATATATCTGAACCCTGTGTAATTTTATTAACCAATAAATTCAATTTTAAAAATAATAAAAGGTTTCTTTAAGTTAACAAAGCTCCATAAAAAAATTTTTTTCCCCACATAGTTGGGTAGAAGACAATCATAGAATATCATTCTTAATTTATTCCTTATACCACCTTGAAGAAAAACCTCTATATAAAAAACATCCAGAACATGCATAAGATGCTGCTCCCAAGATGATAAAGTGAATCTATTCCTGGAGTTTGCCTCTTATCTTTATTAAATATGAACTGTATTCAATCATAAGCAAAAAACCCTATAGTAGTAAAATATATGTGTGGCAAGACAATTGGGAGAATATATGTGAGTCATTTTAATTAAATGTATACATTTATTTGAGAGAGTGAAGACATTGTTATATGGCATTTTTGGTCCTTTCAGCTGTTACTAGTCATTTATAATAGTCTTTTTATAATAGACTTTCCCCAAAACTGAGGGAATTTCTTTTCTCATCTTAATCTGAGTTCAAGCTTAGTTCTGTTCTAAAATAAGCAACCAGAAGTGAAATAGTCAGCATGTTTGAAAGGTCAGCAGCATTGTTATACCTCAAGTGGCTCTTCTTTTCAGAAACAGCCGTCCTCTGGTATTATCATGTTAGGTATAGTAGAAGCCTAACTTCATGTATCATCTGGAATTTCTTAAGTACTTAGTGAACAAACAGCATACAGCTATTTTACTAAAGACTGTCATACCTTTAAAAATTCTATGGTTTCTAATGTTGTTTGTAACTATTATGACTTGTCTGCCTTGCTTACCTAAATGTTTCCATCCTGTATATCCTAATTAACTTCCTTTATGCCAAGCAAATATCTTTTCCCTCTGGTTGTGTTTCTCTCTCCATACTGTTTGAAATTTTGCACAGTGATGGAGTATAAACCAACAAATGCAAGCCATGGGCTGTTTTAGAGGCTCACTGAATTCAGACATGGATTTTGAAATTATCTGAAATTGTTGAAAGCATGATTCTAAAAATTCTACCTATAGCTTAAGAGTTAGATTTCAGGTCAAGAACATTTAAGTTGTAAAACTTCCCCTGGCCAGTGTGGCTCAGTGGTAGAGCGTCAGCCTACCAAGGCTCATGGGTTTGATTCCCAGTCAAGAACACATACCTGGGTTGCAGGTTTAATCCCACCCCAGTCACAGTGTGTGCAGGAAGCAACATATCTCTCTCTCTCTGCCCTCCGCCCCAATCCCTCCCTTCCACTCCATCTAAAAACATCAATTGGAAAAATATCCTCAGGTGAAGATTAACACACACACACACACAAAAGTAAAAATGTTATGCATGGCTTGTGTGATACGAAAAATAGCATCAGGGTTTCTAGAATTAATTTGTAATTTTTTTAACTTTATCTTTTAAAAAAAATTTAAGTCTGTAGGAAATGGTTAGCACCTCTCATTTTAATTCTTTGAAAAATTTGGAATTATAGTAACTGTATCATTTCCATAGTCAGCATAATCATGCTCTGTACACCCCTAAACTAGTTTAATATTCTCTCTACAAATTTTTATTAGAAATTTGAAAATTGACTGGATATTTGCTGATACTAAGGGATTGGTGTTTATTTTTTAAATATGATAATAGTTATGTGGTTATGGTTAAGTTGTTATCTTTCAGAGATACATACTAAAACAGTTACAGATGACATTATATAGTCTCTGGAATTTGCTTCAGAATAATATGAAAAGCAGGTAGATGAAAGTATAAATGAATAAATTTTAAATGTTTACAATTTGATGGTGGGCTCCTTGGAGTTTATTATACTATTACTAGAGGCCTGGTGCACGAAAATCATGCACGGGGGGGTGTCCCTCAGCCTGACCTGCCCACTCTCAAATATGGGAGCTCTCAGGGAATGTCCTACTGATGGCTTAGGCCTGCTCCCCGTGGTTCTCTGCTCTCTGCAGGGCCTGCCTGCTCCACACCTCAGCGACTGCCAAGCAGGCCACGCTGGGTGCTGCCTGTGGGCCATACTTGCCTGCTCCCGGGTCGCTGCAGCAACAGCCAAGCAGGCCATGCTGGGAGCTGCCTCCTACCTGCTGTCAGTCTCCAGGGAGGCGATGAGGTTAATTTGCATACTCATTCCTGATTGGCTGGTGAGCATAGTAGAGGGACAGTCAATTTACATGTTTCTCTTTTATTATATAGGAGGATGTTTACTTTTGTATGTGGTTAAAATTTTTAAATGATAACTCATAATAGATGTTTAAGTATCTCATTTTTTAAACTTGAGAGTCTAAATCCTTAATCTTCTAAGAAAGCTTTGTCTGATTATACTGGTTATGAGAAATTTTTCCTCTTCCTTTCAATTAACAGACTGAAGACATTAAAGAGATAGCCAAAAAGACCCAAGCTCTGCCAAAGGTGAACTCGAAGAGGCAGCGAGTCGTGATTTTCACCCAAGGGAGTGATGACACTATAATGGCTACAGGTACATGTGCAAACTGTGTGAGAAAACCATTATTATGGAGGTTAATCATTTATAACAAAAGTCTATATCCTTTCTAACATATTTAATTCAAAACATGCAAACTGTGTGAGAAAACCAGTATTATGGAGCTTAATCATGTATAACAAAATTTACATTCTTCCTATTATATTTAATTTAAAACACCATACTTTTTTTTTACCACCTTAACTCATTTTGCTTACACACACACACACTTCTGGCAATCATCAATATGTTCTCTGTATCTATGAGTTCGGTTGTTTTTAGGTTCCACATGCAAGTGAGATCATACCTTATTTGTCTTTCTCTGTCTGACTGATTTCACTTAGCATATAATGCCTTCAAGGTTCATCCATATTGTTGCAAATGGAAGGATTTCCTTCTCTTTTATGGCTGAATGTAATTTTAATGTATAAATGTATAAAGAAAATGTAGAAGTCTATATACATTTTCTTTATCCCTACATCCATCAAATGGACCACTTAGGTTGTTTCCATGTCTTGGCTATTGTAAAAAATGCTGCAATGAACACGAGGGTACAGATATCATTCCAAATTAGTGTTTTCATTTTCTTCAAATAAATGCCCAGAAGTGTAATTGCTGGATCATATGGTAGTTCTATTTTTAATTTTTTGAGGAAACTCCACACTGTTTTTCATAGTTGCTACACCAATTTACATTTCCAGCAACAGTGCACAAAGGTTCCTTTTTCTCCATTTCCATCCTTGCCAACACGTATTTCTTGTCTTTTTGATAACAGCCACTCTAGCAGGTGTGAGGTGATCTCATTTTGGTTTTGATTTAAATTTCCCTGATGATTAATGATGTTGATCACCTTTCCATGTACCTGTTGGCCATGTGTATGAATGTCTTTTATGGGAAAATATTCAGCTCTTTCAGATTGTGTTTGTTTGATTTTTTTTGTTTGGTTTTGTGTTTGTTTTTTGTTGAGTTGTATAAGGTATATATATTGGATATTAGCTTCTTACCAGATAAGTGATTTGCAAATATTTTCTCTCATTTCATAGGTTGCCTTTTCATTTTGTTCATGGTTTCTTTTGTTGTGTAGAAGTGTTCTTTGTTTGCTTGTTTGCTTGATTGTGATTTTAGTTTGATGTAGTCCCACTTGCTTATTTTGCTTTTGTGGCCTTTGCTTTTGGTGTCAAATCCAAAAAAATTGTCACCAAACCAGTGTCAAGGAACTTATCCCCTTTTCTTCTAAGAGTTTTAAGGTTTCAGGTCTTACTTTTAAGTCTTTAATCTTTTGAGGTAATTTTTGTGTAAGTTGTAAGGGAATGCTGCATTTTCATTCTTTTGCATGTGGCTGTCCAATTTTTCAAACACCATTTATTGAAGAGACTATTGTCTCCCCGTTGTATGTTCATGGTTCCTTTGTCATAAATTAATTGACCACATATATCCGGGTTTATTTCTGGGCTTTCTATTCTGTTCCATTGACCTATGTGTCTCTGTTTTTATACTAGTATCATACTGTTTTGATTACTGTATCTTTGTAATATAGTTTGAAATCAAGAAATGTGATGCCTCCAGCCTTGTTCTTCTTTCTCAAGGTTGCTTTGGCTGTTCTTGGTCTTTTGTGGTTCCATATGAAATTTAGGATTTTTTGTTCTATTTCTGTGAAAATGTACCTTGTATAGTTTTTTTATAATTTTAATAAATATATATGTACCTTCTATCGCATTAGAAAATAGTTTCAAGAAGATAATTTAAGAAAAATCAGTTGAGTAAATCTACCTTGATTTTTTTACTGTGATATTTTGGAGATATTGTCAATCTAGAAATGTCTTTCCTGAAAAACATACATTTTAATTACCAAATACCTGTGCTACAATAACATAAATTTATCCAACTATGAACAAATATAACCCAAATATAAGTTACTTCATCAGCTTTAAACTTAAAGAAGAAAACTTCACTTCTGTTTTTACACAGCCATCTATTTTCATAGAAATAAAATGGGAATTTTATCTAGTTAACACATTTTATCAAATAAAATGATTAATATTGCCCTGGCTGGTATGGATCAGTGGGTAGAGCATCAGCCTGTGGACTGAAGGGTCCCGGGTTCGATTCTTATTAAGGTCACATGCCCGGGTTGTGGGCTTGATCCCCAGTAGGGAACGTGCAGAAGGCAGCCAATCAGTGGTTCTATCTCATCATTGATGTTTCTATCTCTCTCTCCCTCTCCCTTCCTCTCTGAAATCAATAAAAATATTTTTTTTAAAAAAAAAAAGAGTTGTGGTAGCTTAAACAATTTAAAAAAATGATTAATATTGTCAATAAGATACTACCTACTACTGAAGCCAAAATACAGACCTTTTCCATTTTGTCTGAACCATTAAGATTAAAATAAATCAGTTAATTAATACTTATAAACAGAAGCAATTTTTACCTTAGTGTTTATTCAGTACTCTGCTGAACACTAAAACTTAAGATATGAGATCTAACTCAGAAATAAAATTAATATACATTGATATATGAATACAAGAAACTGTAATTACACTTGTTAATTATTGGTAAAAATTATATGGGCTTTTATTGACTCAGAGAAGGAAATCAATAAAGCCTCAATAAAGATTTTATAGTGGCTATGAAGTAAACTTTTGTTGAACTAAATAAATATGCCTGAAAAGGTAAAAGAATAAATTATTGTCAAATTTTGGGGAATAGAGACCCCAGAATTAATTCATTTCAACTTTCTTATTTTAGAATTGTCAAAAGCAAGATTCAGATATTTATTTCAAAATAATGCAATACATAGTAAATAATGAAATGGAGTTATAGATGAAGTGAGATTCGCCATGAGTCAATAATTGTAATATATGGGGATGGTCATTGTGCAATTACATCCACTTGTATATACACTTAAAATTTTTCATAATTAAAAGTATAAAAAACAGAAGGACAGAAAATTTTTCAAACAAAATTCAGATATATAGTATTAAGTGATTTATTTTTCCCAGATACATTGATATCCTTGCTAAGCCTTGAATTTTAGGAAATATTTAAGAAAGGAGGGCAATCTAGTCAAAGAGGATCATGTGAGCAAAGACACCACGTACTGTATAATCTTTTATTGTTGTGACAGGAAAAGCCATGTTGTTAATTTGTACAAGAAAGAAAATAAATAAGTCATGAAAAGATACCCCTGCATTAATAACAACTGAATTGCTGTCTTTTTATAGTAGTGGCCTATTCCTGTCTTAGCAGTGAACACCGTTTGGAAAAGTGAAAAGCATACCGACTTTCTTACCTCATAAGAATTGTCATACTGCCTTCAGATTCATAAAATGCTATTTGGTTGCTCTTTATAGAGACATTTATTTTAAGGCTTTATTCCAGAGATACATATTGTACAAGTGTCTTGTGAATTAGCACAAATTTCCAAAAATTGAAACCTTTAAAATTAGCATCCTCTTCCTGTGACTGAATTTGTCAACTCAATTTGGTCTTATTAAATATATTAAACCCTCTTAGGAATGCTTACCAGCAGGAATTTATTTGAGGACAGACACTGGTAATCTTTGCTGCTTCTACTATATGAAAATGAACTTAAATTAGAGGGTGTACTATATCTGCAATGCATGATAAATACAAGATGGATAGAGAATCTGTTCAGTGGTGTCAGCTACAAAAGCAAACATGATAAATGTTAATGCAGTTTTGAGCCCTGGGATAAGCTATTCAGTGCACAAGCATAGCTGAATCTCTTTGCTATGTTGTTATTCATGGCAGCCAAATAAATGTCAATAATAAAAGAGAATTAAAGATTTTCATTTCCCAGAGGCAATCTTCTAATACGGCTTGATCTTTCATTTCATTTGTAATTCGTTCTCATGTCAGGATGCAATCATTCGCCAGGCTCTGGGTGTCATGTTAAGTCATTTAATAATGATTAAGAACATAAAAATGCTTGGCCTGTGGGGCAATCTACAGAAGAGATGCCAATTTGTTATTGTTTTTCTTCCTTTCCTCTTGAATATGGATCAGCTTTTCCCACCTCCTAGCATTAAAATACTAATGGAAGATGGGGAGGGACAGTAGTTCCTTAATTTACCATAAATGACATTCCAGAATGGTGAACACACTTATTATAACACTAATTAGGAGTCATTGTTCCTTAAACCTCACACTGTAGACTATTTTTAAATGATCACTGCTAAGTTTGTGGCATCTAGCAATAATATAACAAAATTAGGTTCCTTAGTATTTAATTCCAGAGACCTTTCTCCTTTGCGACATGGTGGCTATAAACCACTTTCTATTATTTTATAAAGGTAATTCTCTGAATTCCTCTACTCTAAGTTGCCTGTGAATGTAGTATTTTTTTGGCCACCTCTATTACAGTTGGGTATCCATCCTCTATATCCATCCAGCCCAGTGGTTTTGTCACATAGCAGTCATTGTTTCATTGCTCGCAGGCTAATTGAGTTCCAAGTTTTGGAAAAGGGGGTAGGGGGAGGGCGAGGTGAAGGGGACACTGAAAAGTAATGAGTAAGAAGTTGGGGATGAAAAACAGGAAAGAAAAGATGATTCTGTTCATTTTTATCCTTTAATAAATGTTGAATGAACTTGTTAGGTATGGTGGAAGTCAGGTCAAGGAAATCATTTCTGTATCTATAAAACTTTAGAAAAATTAAGACTACAGATTTTCATTGCCTACTGGACAGCAGATACTAATAAGGTCTTTGTATATTAACATCTTACTATAGTAAGGATTGTACTGAAAAAAATGAATATATATATATGTGTATATATATATGTGTGTGTGTATGTGTATTAGAATTTTGATGTAATATACACACACACACACACATACATACATACATATACATACACACACATACATATGTGTATATAGAAAGTATAGATTTCTTCAAGTTCCTGTACCGTACTAAATATATCACTAAAAATTGGGAAAAACAGTAAGACTTTTATTCTAAATTGAAAATAATGCATTT